CCCCTGGGAGCCCTCAATGGGGAGCCCCCCTGTAACCTCCCACTTACCCCTATGTCCCCACAGGTGATGCTACCCCGGCCTGGCATCAGCTGCTGCTCCTGCCAGCTGCCCGCCTGCTGGGGGGCCGCGGGCCCCCGGCCCCCGCTGGTATGGCCCCGGGGGATGCAGGGAGGTCCTGGGGAGTGTAGGGCATCTTGGGGCCAGCTGGGAGGCTCCAGGGGTCCTGGGAGGGGCTCAGGGCACAGGGGGTCCTGGGGCAGTGCAGGAAGCCTTCGTGGGGCTGAGGGGTGCCAGGCTCAGACATGCCCCCCCCCACAGGTGCAGCGCAGCCGAGTGCATCAGAGTCAGTGCCAGAGGTCCCACCAGCGGGACCCCAATCCACAGGCCGCAGCCACACATACCAGGACCCAGGCCCGCCCCCTGGCAGTGACCCCCCTGGCACTGCGAGCATGGGGGCACTGGAGTACCCTGATGGGTTTGAACCGCTGCGCTCCCGCTACCCTGCAGCACCAGTAGCACTGGATCTGTCACCCTTGGGGCGCAACCCCTACATGTCGCCGTTGCTGGCGCCCGACAGCATGCTGTGCACGCTGCCCCCGCTGCACATCGTGGTGAGCTGCCCGTGCCAGGCCATATCACGCTGTGACCCACGCCGGGCCATACAGCAGGGATGAGGGGGGAGGATGAGACTCGCCGCCTGGCAGGCAGCACAGTCTGGGCATAGGTGCAGCAGGGCACAGCAGTTGGTCTGTATAGGAGCTAGCCAGTCCATATAGGAGAGGAGGGAGCTGTGGGCTGTCTGTCTACATAGGGGACAGGGACTCACAACTGGTCCCTATAGGGGTGAACTGGTCCATATAGCGGTGCAGGGAGCCACTAGCAGTCCGTACAGAGGGACAGGGACCAAGCACTGCTCCATACAGAAGCCGGCTGATCCATACAGGGAAGCAGAGAGCTGCTAGCGGTCTGGACAGGGGGGCTGGGACCCACAGCTGGTCCATATAGGGGCCACCCAGTCGAGATAGAGGCACAGGGAGCTAGGGATCTGCAGCTAGTCTGTAGGGGGGCCAGGCGGACTATATAGGGACACGGGGAGCTTCAGGCAGCCCATAAAGGGGGGCAGGGGCGCACAGCTGGTCCGTATAGGGGCCAGCCAGTCCCCAGAGGGAGCAGCAGGCAGCGTGCCCCAACCCCCGCTGCCGCCCCGGCTGGTGCGCTGGACCCGATGCTGGACGACGCGGTGATGCTGGCGCGCCGGCTGCGGGCACTGGGCCGCCCCGTGACGCTGCGTGTGGTGCCCGACTTGCCTCATGGCTTCCTGAGCCTGTTGCAGCTGTGCCGCGAGACGCGCGAGGCCACCGCGCTCTGCACCC